CTGTCTGTCCGTCCGTCCGTCCGTCCGTCCGTCCATCCATCTGTCTGTCTGTCTCCAGTCTGTCTCATTTTCTCATTTGTGAGTCTCTTGACCCTTCAGTCTTTCAACAGAACGACTAATGTGTGTGTCTGTGTGTGCTCATGTGTACCCTCAGACCACCAAAGAGTTCCTTCCCTCCATGCTGGAGAACAACCAAGGACACATCGTCAACATGGCCAGCTCTTGTGGGCTCATCGGGCTCAGCCATCTCACGGACTACAGGTAGGTAGACGCACAGATGGGCACACACACTCACGCACACACAAACACACCCATACATACGCACACACACATACATGCACATACACAAACACATAATACAAACATATTAATACTTACACTCATGCACCAAAACAGAAGCCTACAAATGTACACTAATCTTCTGACGCTCATATGACCTTATGCAGTTGCGAGCGCCGTAAAACCTCTACTAAAACTAAAACTAAAACATACCTACCTATCTCCCAATCGAGTTACCTAGCTCCCTACCAACCTACCTACCTACCTACCTATTGGCAGGTTGACAGACTGGTATACATACCTGCGGACACACACGTTTACCTGCCCATGTACCTACTTAAAAATCTGTTTGCTGTCTCTGTGTTTTTGGTATGTGCGTGTTAGACTGTACATGTTCACATTTTTTCATATTTTATGTCTCCACAGTGCGTCCAAGTTTGGCGTTGTTGGCTTCACCCAGACCCTCAACTATGAGATACACTTCTCTGGCCACGACGGTGTGCACACCACCCTTGTCTGTCCCTCTTTTGTCACGACGGGCATGTTTCAGGGATGCAGGATGGCGTAAGTCTGTCCGTCTGTTTGTGTCTTGTCTGTCTGTGTGTTGGTTGCTGTGTGCACACCGCTTTCCATTGCATGAACTCATTAAGACAGCATCTAAAGCAGTCTCATATTTTAAATCATGCAGAAGTTAAGATTATGATATGAAAAAAAATGCTGTTCATAAAGTTTGTAGTTCACCACTGGTTTTAATAAAATTGTTTTTTCACTCAATGACCCACGACTTTTAACTGGTAATACATTTGAAGGATGTTTTTAAAGATGGTCCAGAAAACCTGTTTCTTCCTAGCTTTATTTGGGGCTTCTAAAGCTATGTTAAAAACACCTCAAAGTAGCATCCTGGGGTGAAAACTGAGAATCAGAGATGGCAGTCTCAATATGTTCAATGGCTGTTGTGTTTTTCTCTACTCAAACTCCTTTCTAACACTCTCATGAGCTGGATGGAAGGGTAAAATTATAGAGAAACACATAAAGGATGGGTCAGCGTTATTTATAAAATAACTGACGTCTCTCGTTTTGATCCCCAGTTTTCCTCTCCTAATCCCTGAGCTGGAACAAAACGCTACTGTTCAACGCATCATGCATGCCATCCTGACCAATCAGAGTGAAGTTTACATACCACGGCTCGTCTACTTCATGAATTCTCTGAAAACGTATGTCATTTTCATTTTATATTTGAGGAGGGGATGGGTGTGAGGGTAAGGTGGTGAGGGTGTGGGGGG